GGAATGATGCCGTTCAGAAGAGCACAAGTGATATAAGGTGAGGATACAAGCATATCTTCATCGCAGAATCAGATTCTGAGTGATCTGAAGGCGTCTTGAATGTTTTAACTTAGTTTAAAAAAGCACTAACTTTATATTCTCAAAGTTGAAAGTTTGTTAGCAGGCCTGGTTGTCAATGTCCTGGTATCTTTGTGCAAAACTTCAGCTCATTCATGCGTTTGTGGTGATTGATTCTTTGTCAACATTAAAGGGCTTCCTATGACTGATTACTCAAGAGCGCATACAGAAATTCAGTAATTTTCCCTCTATTTCATTAACAAGTAATTGCGATTAGTCCTCATAAAATTAAGGATTAATATCACTTGTGTTTTCAGAAGTAGCTGAAATTGCCCTCGCTGCTGCATGACTTGGGCAATTTCAGCAACTTCTGAAAACACACGTGATATTAATCCTTAATTTTACTCCGCCCCATGCGATTACCTATACAAATTTATACGTTAAGTGAAACAGAGAGACATACCAGATATACAAGAAAGGGCCACTGACGCAAATAACTAGCCAATTCTTTTCCGGTCAATTCTGAAAATTCCTGTCAGATAAGAACAAACTTAAATATGATTTGAAGGATAGTGGTGGACTAAGTCATGTCAAAAAACGGTTGATTGGTAGGGGGTGGGGCCGAGATGGAGGATCCCTTCCTTACTCTAAATAAGAGCAGAGGTGGGTGGGAGAGCTGAAAAAATTTCAAGTGAGTGCTTTGGAGCTTAAAGTGCATATGACATGAAAAATAATTTCTGCTTACTTGAAAGGCCTTTTAAAATACAGAAGAATGGCGTTTTTCTTTTTGAAATATCTTTTTTTGTTTTAGAGATATTGACGTTTTTTATTATGCAAATCAGATCATTGATGACGTCATATTGTTTGCAAGTAAAATACTGAATAAACGATATCTCAGGAAATATTGAAGCAGTGTTCTTGAAACTTGGCACCAGAAATGTGCATCACAAAAGAAACAAAATGACATCCTTAATGCTGTTGCCATAGCAACTCTTTTGGCTCCAGTCTTTTTCTGTCAGAAAACCAAATATCCCCATTTGCAACCTCTAAAGTGAGACAAAGTGTCCTAATTGGAACAGACATAGTTCCCATATTGTCTTAACTCCCATCATTAGATCGGGTGGGGTAGATGGTTCTTGGTTTAAGACAAAAACTGGGAATTCAGTTTTTATTAAGACAGCACCAGCGGCAAACTTGTTGTCATGGCAACAGCACTAAGGGTGTCATTTTTTTCAGCTGTTGTGATAACTTGTAGGATGTGGCAGATACAACTGGTTTACAGGTCGCTGTAGCACAATCTCGTAGCACAAAGCGTCCGGTTTCCTCGAAGCAAAGGGACTTGAAAACTCAAAGCACTGTGGCTGCGATTCGTGCAGCAGCACTACGGATAATATTTTCAAAAACCGCTTTCTCTTATTTTCATGTCTTTTTTTACTTTATGGGTGAAGATATTGTTTAATTGAGGGCTGGCCGTTTGACCAAGTGTCCCAATCATTTTGCAATTTAAGAATTCGCACTCATTTAGCTGCCTACATAAAATATCCTGGAAATATCCAATTAAATAGACTGAAAAGCCCCAGGATCGACTCTCCACCTCTTCATGTCTAAGGTTACTGTTATTATCTGCTTAACAGCTCTGAGATGTCCTTAAGATGTTTTTTGGGGGGCTTTGAAAAGTATTCTCTTCTCCCATAATCACTCTAAATTTTCAGCGCAGCATGAGAGTAATACAACCAGTGACGTCACTAGGCTGTTTTGGCTGCACCAAGATGGCAGCCAATTTTAGGCTTAACCAGCCAACTTCGAACGACCGAAAAAACAGTTTTCGCTTACCGCATGCGAAAAAAAAGTCTGCATTGTTTCCAAGTAAGGTTGAAACTTTATTACTGAGCAAAAATCTCACATAAGAAAATTTCGTTTCAGTAGTACTTTAAGCGACACAGTTGTTAATTGAAGTTAATAATCTTGAATATTCATGCATCTTTAAAACAATCCTTCAAATGCTAACTAACTAAATACATTTTACTATACCTTGGTTGAGAATGTTATGAGTAAGAAAGCACCAACTATTGCAAGAGTGACTCCTGTAAAAGGCAAAAAGAATTTTATTTCAGAGACTACACTGCAAACAAGACCCCAAGGGAACATTCCTGGACATGACAACAATCACATGTTGTGCCAAAAATACTACTGACATGTTGTTAAATATCATTGTACATGTAATAACAGACGATACACTTGGCAAAAACCTACCAGGGCTGTCATTAAGTTTTGAGTCACCTGTACCCTTGTTCTCCACACCTGTAGCAAACTTGTTACTTTGTGGGTGAATTTTTTCAGCAACAGGTAATTTCACCTGTAGCATCAAAGGAAATCAAGCATACTCAACCGTAATGACAGGTGTTACAGGCTACAGCCCTTAATGACAGCCCTGCCTCCAGTTTGTAAATGCCTGTTATAATTATAATAAAAATTGTGGTTATTTTCATTAATAGAAAATGACATAGTTTAAATATATAATTTATTAAAATATCTCAACTTTCTATCATGCTTTCTTGACAGAGTAAATCATATTGGATACTGCAATGTACTCTATATTAGCAGCACACATTAAACACTCTTTGTTTGCACATGTACACTGTACACAGTGTATTGTCTGCTTGTGATTTACTTCTCATGAAATTCTTGTGTTTGGATTACCCTCATTGGCTTGTGAACCACAGACTGAAATGAATGATGGTCCACATTTACTTAAGTTGGTGGCAAAATTACAATTAACACATACAGTTATTACATAAGCAATTTATGTGTTCTTTTGTTTGCCTTCAAATTACCCCTTCTTGCCTCGTTCTTAAACTCGAAATTCAAAAGAATATTTTCCCTTGAGCGAGGCAACAAGGGCTAATTTGCAAGCAAACAAAAGAACACTAAAATGGCGGCGATTTTGGAATAAAGTGTATAATTACCAAAAACATCTTGGTATCGTACTCTTTCTCTCAAGAATACAACAGCAATGATGGCATTAGCTGCAACACAAGAGCAATAAATGTACCATGACACTGAGCAGTAGAACAAGCTGAAAGTCTACATGTTATTGAAATATAACTGATTAAAAATATCAAGAGCTATGTGCATGTTTTCAACAATCACTACCCTGTATCATTATATCTTTTTTCCTTTATTGCCATGTAATGTGGCTAAATATCATTTAGGCAAGGTTAAACTCGAGCTAATGCAGCCAGCTAGCGTGCCCATCCAGCTAATATCATTTAGGCAAGTTAAATATG